GGGGTTATTTACATTAACATTAAAGATAGAAATCAGATCACAATAATAGGTACGCTAATCATTAACTACACTCAGTGGTCACCAGCTACACTGTTGTGGTCCTTAACTACGCTAGTTAATTAGTAGTGGTTATTACACTGTAGTGGTCATTAATACACTAGCAGCCATAACATTGTATTGGTCATTAATACACTAGCAGTCATAACATTGTAGTGGTCATTAATACACTAGCAGTCATGACACTGTAGTGGTCATTAATACACTAGCAGTCATGACACTGTAGTGGTCATTAATACACTAGCAGTCATGACACTGTAGTGGTCATTAATACACTAGCAGTCATGACACTGTAGTGGCCATTAATACACTAGCAGTCATGACACTAGTGGTCATTAATACACTAGCAGTCATGACATTGTAGTGGTCATTAATACACTAGCAGTCATAACACTGTAGTGGTCATTAATACACTAGCAGTCATGACACTGTAGTGGTCATTAATACACTAGCAGTCATGACACTGTAGTGGTCATTAATACACTAGCAGTCATGACACTGTAGTGGCCATTAATACACTAGCAGTCATGACATTATAGTGGTCATTAATACACTAGCAGTCATGACACTGTAGTGGCCATTAATACACTAGCAGTCATGACACTAGTGGTCATTAATACACTAGCAGTCATGACATTGTAGTGGCCATTAATACACTAGCAGTCATGACACTAGTGGTCATTAATACACCAGCAGTCATGACATTGTAGTGGCCATTAATACACTAGCAGTCATGACACTAGTGGTCATTAATACACTAGCAGTCATGACATTGTAGTGGTCATTAATACACTAGCAGTCATGACACTGTAGTGGTCATTAATACACTAGCAGTCATGACATTGTAGTGGTCATTAATACACCAGCAGTCATGACATTGTAGTGGTCATTAATACACTAGCAGTCATGACACTGTAGTGGTCATTAATACACTAGGCAGTCATGACATTGTATGTGGTCATTAATACACCAGCAGTCATGACATTGTAGTGGTCATTAATACACTAGCAGTCATGACATTGTAGTGGTTCATTAATACACTAGCAGTCATGACACTGTAGTGGTCATTAATACACTAGCAGTCATGACACTGTAGTGGTCATTAATACACTAGCAGTCATGACACTGTAGTGGTCATTAATACACTAGCAGTCATGACACTGTAGTGGTCATTAATACACTAGCAGTCATGACACTGTAGTGGTCATTAATACACTAGCAGTCATGACACTGTAGTGGTCATTAATACACTAGCAGTCATGACATTATAGTGGTCATTAATACACTAGCAGTCATGACACTGTAGTGGTCATTAATACACCAGCAGTCATGACATTATAGTGAATATTAACTACACTGTAATGGTCATTAACTACAAAACTACTCAGCATGTCCAGAATATCTAGCAAATTTTACCAAGGTTAGGACCCAAATCCAGTATGGTATTAGGGGAAGCAAGCACAATTTCATAGTACCTACAGTAGGTGGTCAGGCCTCTCACACCATCTCTTATATAGTATGAGTTACCTGACCATGTCAAGGCCAATCTTAGCATATACCAGTTGAGGAAAAGGAACATATTAAGGTGATCTCTATTTAATGTTTGTGTGATTTCCTTGGTATATTTTATGCCATTTGTATGTGTAGTAAACTGCCAGTTTACTTTATTTTTATTGTTATAACTATGACATTTTTACTGTATCTAATAGGCTGCTAATAGCCAGATATGATAAGGACCCCAATGGAAATAAGTTGCTTTGAATTTTTTGGGTTATTCTAGTTAATTTACACATGTTACTACTTATGACAATTGTAATAGCCCAAAAGTTGCATAAATGTGCTTGTGTAAATTGTACCTAAATAAACATAATAATAATATCTTTATTTACTACAAGTACATGTACAAGGTATACAGGCTTAGCTGACATCAGTGACTTACTACTACGTATATAGAAAGCCCCTTGTTATGCAGAACATTTCAGGCAAATTAGATCAGTTTTGACCTAGGATGTGAGCCACACCAATCAGCTAACACCCAGATACCCATTTTACTGATGGGTGAACATAGACATCAGGTGTAAGTATTTCCACCCTTGCTGGGAATCGAATCACGACCCTCAGCATGTGAAGCGAGAGCTTTGCCTACCGAGGCAGCTACGGTGAAAAGCTCTGTTTTCCCCAAGGCACAGTACTAGCTCCCATCTTGTTTTCCTCTCCTCATATCCGACATAGACAAGGATGTCAGCCACAGCACCGTGTCTTCCTTTGCAGATGACACCCGAATCTGCATGACAGTGTCTTCCATTGCAGACACTGCAAGGCCCAGGCGGACATCAACCAAATCTTTCAGTGGGCTGCAGAAAACAATATGAAGTTCAACATGAGAAATTTCAATTACTCAATATGGTAAACATGAGGAAATTAAATCTTCATCAAGTACAAAACAAATTCTGGCCACAAAATAGAGCGAAACACCAACGTCAAAGACCTGGAAGTGATTATGTCGGAGGATCTCACCTTCAAGGACCATAACATTGTATCAATCGCATCTGCTAGAAAAATGACAGGATGGATAATGAGAACCTTCAAAACTAGGGAGGGCCAAGCCCCTGATGACACTCTTCAGGTCACTTGTTCTATCTAGGCTGGAATATTGCTGCACTCTAACAGCACCTTTCAAGGCAGGTGAAATTGCCGACCTAGAAAATGTACAGAGAACTTTCACGGCGCGCATAACGGAGTAAAAACACCTCAATTACTGGAGCGCTTGAGGTTTCTAAACCTGTATTCCCTGGAACGCAGGAGGGAGAGATACATGATTATATACACCTGGAAAATCTAGAGGGACTAGTACCGAACTTGCACACGAAAATCACTCCACTACGAAAGCAAAGACTTGGCAGACGATGCACCATCCCCCCAATGAAAAGCAGGGGTGTCACTAGCACGTTAAGAGACCATACAATAAGTGTCAGGGGCCCGAGACTGTTCAACTGCCTCCCAGCACACATAAGGGGGATTACCAACAGACCCTGGCAGTCTTCAAGCTGGCACTGGACAAGACCTAAAGTCAGTTCCTGATCAGCCG